TGGGTACCGCATTCATGGGTGGATACTTACGTTGATTTAAATCATTGGCATGCCTTCGGAATGCACTATAATCTGAACCGAATAATTTCAATGGTTTACCAGCATAGATGGTAAATATTAGAATACCCAAGGAGAACAAATCACTATCCGTCGAATTGATATTATTCAAAGCAATTTCAGGTGCCGTATATTCCAAACTGGGTTGTGCCAACATATGCATCGATGTCGAATACTCCTTGCATGGCCAATAGGGTTTACCATCCGGTTGTGGTTGATTGGCAACACAAAAATCAAAACCAAACAATTTCCAGCTACGATTCTTATTGATGACAATCGTTTCGGCGCAAATATTACGATGAACAATTTTGGCATCATTGTGAAGGAATTGCAAACCATCGAACAGTTGAAGGAGACCATGGCGTATTTCGACATCGTAAAGCTTCTTCTCCGCCCTCACCTGATCTCCCACCACATTAGCTAGGGAGGCGAAAACGGGTTCTGTTGCAAATGCCAATGAGTCACGACTTTCCTCCAAAGGATGTTGCACCGTCAGCACATGGGGATGGCGTATTTTTGTTAGCTGTTGTACACCACGACGCAATGTTTCCAATATAGCCTCTCGATCCTCCTTAGACCATCGATCCAGCGACCGTTTTTCGAATACAAACACCGATACTTCCTGTTTCGTGGATTTCTTATACCCGTTATAGACTTTCCACAGCAGACCCACCCCAGCCGTGCACACTTGATCTAATACTTCGTATTCACGGGTAACCATATTCCCGGGGAGGGCATTGGACAGTTGTGACACTGTTGTGTGTACAGTTGAATAGAATTTGTTAATAACATCCATCCTGTTTTCGTTTTTTTCTCACTTCCAGATGTTAACTTTTTTTAATTGGGGTTTTTGGGTAAATTTGTTGTTGTATTTTTTTTTTGTTTTCGTTATGTTTATTGCACTTTAGTTACAGGTTTTTTGGGAGGTTTTCTGATAAGGATATTAGCAATACAATTTTCTTTTTTCTAATCCTTAATATTTTCCTAGATTTTCTAGTATTTTTCTCCCCTTTCTTTTTTCTTTCTGTTTTGCGTTTAGGGATGTGAAGGTCGATATTTGACTAATCGCCTTTAGGTGTTGAATAGTATAGAGGGGAGTAGACACAATTAGTTTTGAATGACAATGGCAAAATTTTCAACATTGACGTGTGCATTGCTGTGTCATTTAAACAATTTGGGCTGTATTTTTGTATTGATTTCTCCAAACTGCTTATGCTTAAAGAAGTTCACAGAATTCGAATACATTTTTATAAAATTTTATTAAGAATTTATTAAGAGTGTTTGTTTTAAATGGCAAAGCTTTTCATATTGGGAATGTACGAAAAAAATCGCAGTAATGGGTTTGACAGTTTTTTTGTGATAATCAGCTGACCAGTCCGACTTGAGTCTGAATGCAGTGAACATGAAAAAACTAGTTCTAGTCACTGCCATAAAGCGGATTTTCAAAACACCTATAATCGATCTAAACGTAGTAATTGATTAAGGGCGGTTTTTTAATCAGCGCTTAGATTAAAAAAAGCAAGATTCAGGATCACAAGCGTGGATTTTAAAATATATGTTGTAGGACCTTTTGAACCATAAGCAAACATCTTTAAACGCATTTTTTGTATGACCATCCGAACCATAAGCGCGGCTATATTATTTGAAAGATCTTTTAGGACCATAATCTCAGATTTTTAATATTTTTTGTTGGAGGATATACGACTATTAATGCGTACTTTAAAGAAGTAAAGCTGCCTTATAATAGAACGGTTATTCATAAGCCGAACTTAATAAAGATTTCCAGGAGCGTCGGTCTTGTGCGCATCTCACCCAATTTGAAAGACCATTTTCCGAGATGTTGTGTTCTACTTGATCTTTCCATCGAATTCGTGGCCTTCCCCTTCTGCGTGAACCATCACTTGGCTCGCGTTTATATGGCTTTTGAGCAGGGGCATCTTCATCCATTCTTACAAGATGGCCTTTGCAGCTCTATCCGTCTGGTTGTGTCGATCTCCTATAAAAGATGGTATAGCTCATGGTTCATTCGACGTCGATATTCCGGAGAATTTTTTTTCTTAAACACTCCAAGAGCTGTCTCATCTGCTTGCGCAAGTACCCATGCTTCAGATCCATACAACAGCACGGGCATGATGCAATAATAAGGTGATGTATACCAACAAAAACCTTTGTTTTTGCCTCAATTATCTATCAAATTTTCCCATATAATATTCCAAATGGTTGGCAACAGTTCACATCGAATTCAAGTAGAAAATGCCCACTTTGACAGTTAATCAAGACATCAGCTGCGCTAAATGGACTACCTATTCATTGTGCCATGAGCACGGGTAATATCAGCGTCTTGTAGAGTGCGAGTTTGGTATGAAGGATTTCAAATCTGATGTTGTCAGTTTCGTTTATGGCGGTGCCGAGGTATATAGAATCGTTCACTACCTCGAAGCTGTAATTTTCAAGTTTCACAGTTGTTCCGAGTCTATTGGACGTTTTACGTGTTGATACCATCAGCTTGGTCTTTTCGCCATTTACTGCCAGTCCCAATTTTGCAGACTCCTTCTCAATTAGTTCAGAGCTGGCTGTTAACGCTCGCAATGTTAGACCCATTATGTCAATGTCGTCAACGTAGGCGAGTAGAATGTGTTGTTTGGTGTACAGAGTGTAATTTCTGTTCATATTTGCATCTCGTATGACCTTTTCCAGCAGGATGTTAAACAGGTCACACGACAAACTGTCACCTTGTCGGAATCCTCGTTCGGCATTGAAGGGTTCCGAGATGTCCTTTCCGACTTTAACTGCTGACCTTGTGGTAGTTAAAGTTATCCTGCATAGCCGAATTAATTTTGCAGGTCTGCCGAACGCAGACATGGCTTTATACACCTCTGAACGGATAGGGCTGTTGAATGTGGCTTTATAGTCGACGAATAGGTGGAATGTATCGATGTGTTTTTCGTGGGTTTTTTTAAAGATTTGGCGCAGAGTGAAAATCTGGTCAATGGTGGATTTGCCAGGTCTGAAGCCGCATTGGTATGGTCTAATAATGTCATTGACCATTGGCTTCAGTCGTTCACACAGTACGCTGGATAGCACTTTATATGCGATGGGAAGGAGACTTATTCCCCTATAGTTGACACATATCGTCTTGTCTCCTTTTTTGTGCACCGGGCACAGGATACTGACGTTCCAATCATTGGGCATGTATTCCTTTAGCCAATTTGTACAAATGAACTGGTTCATGCTCCTGATTAGCATTTTACCACCGGTCTTGAATAGTTCGGCTTGTAACCCATCGCCACCTGCTGCTTTATTGTTATTCAGCCGATTGATTTCTACTCTGACCTCATCTTGTTTAGGTGGTATACACTCTATACCGTCATCTTTTATTGGTTCTAGGGTATCTTCATCACCGCCTCTTTTTGATATCAGAAGCTTTTCAATATGTTCCTTCCAGATCCTCAGCACGCTATCTGTATATGTCACCAGGTTTCCTTCTTCATCTCTATAGGAGGATGTGCCTGCAACAAAACCTTCGGCTTGGCGTTTTACTCGTTGGTAAAATTTGCGGACTTAATTCTGACTCCTGTACATCTCGATTTGCTCCCACTCACGTTTTTCTTGTTCTTTCTACTTTTTTTCTGAAAACACTTTTCTCCTCTCTGTTTTTCTCCCGAAAATTCTCCATTACATTACGTGTTGCTATTGTCTGCAGGGTTGCCCTATACGCTGCGTTTTTCACATCAGTAGCATTACGGCACTCTTGATCGTTCCACGGGTTTCTTGGTGGTGGTTTTTGGTACCCAAGTGTTGCTTTTTCTGCAGTTTGTAGGTAGTGGGCAATTCTTGGCCATTATGCTTCTATACTATTATCGGGACAAGAAGTGCTTTCGTCAAGCAGGTGGGTAAGTTGAACGGAGTGGACTTCGGCTACATGTTGTGTTTGCAGCTTTTCGACGTTGAGTTTCCGTGTTGTGTTAGATCGCACCTTTGCTGCAACATTATGACGAGTGCGAACCTTGACTGCTACAAGGTAGTGGTTCGAATCGATATTCGCTCCGTGGATCGATCGAACGTCTAATACACTGGATGAATGCCTTACGTCTATTACAACATAATCAATTTGATTTTTCGTTGCTTGATCAGGAGAAATCCTGGTGGCCTTGGGTATATCGACTCACTATTTCAACGGGTGATGAAAGTAGCTACCCCAGGTGAACCACGAGGAGGCCAGTGTCCACAATTGAGATAAAAGAGGGACCAAGATAAGCCTGGGTTTCGCCATGTTAAAGCCAATCAGATCCGTTGCTTGGTATCTATGTCCCAATTTAGATTAGGCGAGCGTACTTGCGGCAAGTCTTTGTTTGCAGGAGAGATATTGTGATTTTTTCAAAATTAAAGGCGTTTTGACATCATGAGAAAATATCAGTCGGTTTTCCTGGACATAACCTTAAAAAGATTAAGAAATTGACACCAAAACGACATTTACATTAGAATTTTTTAACGGGATTAACCTACTCTATGAGGATTTAATTGACATGTACAAAATGGAATTGACAATTGAAATCCACAGGGTTAACGGAATCCGGTATAAACGTACTACAAGTTTAAATTATAATATTGTCAAAAACTGATATTAGTTTTTGATGTATTAAAAATGGCAATGCTGGAGTTTGGTTTTCTGGGACACAAACCCTACAACAGTCTAACTAAGAGAACGAAATATAGATGGCGCTAGGAGACAATTGACAAGCACTGACCAAAGACATAAAAGTATAAAGATAGGACATTTTATAGTCACGAATGAAATATAGATGTCGGTGTGGTATAATATTATGTTATGTCACGATATGGTGACATAACATAATGTTAACTTTTGAGTGAAATGATTTTTATATTCTCTGAAATGCACTGGAATTTTGACAAAAAGACAATTTCAAAGAGACTGTCATAGCAAAGTTGAGCAGTATTTTGTTTGAAAAAAAACACACACACACAAACAACAAATTATTTATTATGTAAATCATACTCATTTACAATTTTGTTTATTTCAAATTGTCATGTTCGACGTTGTTGAAGCCGAAGATAACAACGAATCAGATAAAGAAGGAAGGCATAACAGTGCAATTCTTTGAGATACATTGTGACACACTCCTCCACCACGCTAAGACGAAATATGTGGAAATTTAGAAAAACGTATCCGAATCAATTGAGCTTTCACAGGAGCTCGATGCTGCGGTTGGACTTTCTTTGGTTGTTACTAGGAACTATTATTAATTAAAATTAGCCGTGGAAAATATCTTTACAGTGCACATGTCTTCCGCTGAGACTGTCAATGAAGCAAATCTCATTATTCCAGCTAGGCATTACCAATTTGTTTAAATTATCATCAGAATCACTACCAATCCGAAAAGTCAGCTAATACTTCTCGATAAGTTGAACTATATGTGGCGATTTGCAATATTTGTACTAAATCCAGACATTACATGTGAGATTTATGATTTATAAAAGCTGAGAATGTTGTGAATCAAATCTGATGTTTTCTTCCCGAATTATTTTTTTTTAAACGTAAACAATAAAATAAAACTTGTTGTTGAAGTCCTTGAAATATCTTTAGTTGTGTTAAATTGGGTCAAAATTCCATATATTTCATCATTATGTGGTATATGGATTTCTAGAAAATATAATATTTAAATTTATAATAATAATAATATGTTTACGTATTTTTTATAAGACACTCTCACAATGACCAAAATGCTACATTATAATTGATCTCTAAAATCAAATTTAGTTTTTATTTTCTTATCA